TTTGAGTAAGAGTGACAAAGTTGGTATCATTCCATTCATCTTCAAATAATCCAGGGGTTGATGCTATTTTTATTTCTCTAGGACCACTTTGACTATTGTAATTAAAATAATTATCAGAGGAAATTAGAATAAAATGTTTGTCATAAGTGTTTCTCCAATTTCTCACCTATAAAATGCCTTCAAATGGAAAAAGATAGCTTCACTCACTACAGCAACTCTTCAGAATTGGAGTTACGCATTTACTTTTTCGTTTTTACATGGTAAATTTATGAAGAATTCCCGTAAGAGATAGGCAATTAATTGAAATTCATACCTTAATATTTCCTGAACAACTTGAGCCATTAAGAAAAAAATTACAGATTTAAAATCAGCATAAAAAACTACCTTAGACAGTGAAATTTAGCTGAGATTGAGCCAGAAACAAAAAAGGTTTTTAAAGCCCTCATTCCCCCTTAACATAACAACAAACATACCATAAAAGCCTGAGTATAGCCCATGGTTTTTTTTTTTTTTTTTTCAAGACTTCAGGGTATGAAATTTCGGCCTCGTACTATATGCAGATCTCAAAAATTTTCGGCCAAAATTCAGATTTGGTTTCGGCATAGTGCGGTGCTATGATCATTATCAGGTGTTGGCGCACTTTTGCGCTAGGTGCTAGACATTGTTAGCGGCGGTAGCAGGCGTTAGTTTAACAGACCCACGCGTGCAACAGTGGTCAGTGGCCTTTGCTTCAACTTGGCACCTATAACGACGGCCACGATTTTGCTCCTCTAATTTTACGCCATGTCAGCACCGCGCAAGCAGTACTCAGCGGCTTTTAAAAGGAAAGTTGCCGCTGCTGCCGAAACCATTGGCAACTGTGCCGTGGAGCATCAATTCGGAGTCAACGAGCAGAGTATTCGCCGTTGCTGGAAGCAGAACGACGCTCTCGTTGCTTGCAGCGACCAGCGAAAAACTTTCCGCGGACCGAAAACTAGAGTGTTTCCTGACATTGAACAAGAACTTGCAGACTTTGTGCGGGAGCAGCGAGCTGCACATCACGCTGTTAACATCGAGCTGCTACAAGCGAAGGCAAGGAAAATCGCCTGAGACAAAGGCACTCAGCCAGAGGATTTCAAAGCGAGCAAGCATTGGGTGTCTCTCTCTTCATGCGCCACGCTGGGTTCTCCCTACGTCGGCGCACGTCGATCTCGCAGAAGCTACCAAAAAGCTATGAAAAGGACCTTGTGGAGTTTCAAAAGTATGTAATTGCATTGTAAAAGGCTGTCCCCTTTCAACTGGGCCAGATTGGCAATGGGGATCAAAGACTGGTCTATCTGGATATGCCCTTGGTGCTGACGGTGCATCAGAAAGACTCCAGGCAAGTTATCGTGCATCGACTGGGAACAAAAAACGCGGGTGACTGTAATGTCGTCCTGCACTGCATACAGTCACAAGCTTGCATACACTGCATACAGTCACAAGTTTTTCGTTTGAACACCCTACATGGTGTTCAAACGAAAAACGCTTTCGAAGGGGCAGAACTTCCCAAAAAATGTTGTTTGCTGCCAGGACAACAGTGGATGAATGAACCACTAGTGCTTGAATAGATAAAGTCCGTGTGGTGTCGACGGCCCGGAGCACTGCTGAGGCTCCCTTCAGTGCTTGTGCTCAACAGGTTTCGGTGCCACCTGAACGACTCCGTAAAGCGACTCCCGCACCAAGCTCGTCGTCATCCCGAGAGGGATGACATCACAGCTGCGGCTGCTTGATGTGTGCCTCAAGGGGAGATGCAGTTCGAAAAACCACAATTTTTTCTAATATGTCGATTTTGTGTTTTGTCCTATTTTGTATTCCTCTAAGCCTTCTCCCTAATATATTAAAGAATCAAAGCTGAGAATCAACTAGAAGTTTACGAAAAATACAATTACGATGAAGCACTCGTGATGGCTCACAAACGTGCAAACTTGCCCGATTCTCGCGCACGCGGCACTTCGCTGTGTGGCATCGCCGGCTCTTGAAATTTCGCAGGCATGTAGGCCTAACCCTCTTCTCCCAGAACCCACTTCGGCAGCACAGCATTCTTGCTGAAAATGCAACAAAAAAACCGTTTCCCCACTGCATTCTAGCGTGGCAAGTGGGCCTTTGAAGTCATGTGGTATGATCGGAGCTCTGCCATTGGTTGACAGCATTCCGCCCCACGTTCGGTGGTGAGCCCTCTTTCTTCATCCTTCTGGTTTTGCCAAGACATAGACGAACACAACCGCCTGAGTTACTTTTCTACGCCACGAATACTGGCGAAAAACGAGATTTTCATTCACGGAAGTTCATTACAAGGCACCAGCACAAGAGAAGGTGCCCCAAACGCAAGCGGTGAGCTCCGGCGACGGGAAGTTCGTCAGCTGCCGGCCTAGCTGCGGCAGCGGCGATGCACCTGATTTGGATTGTTCAAGCTTCATTCCTGGCGTCAATGATGTCAGTGCTTCAGACCAAAAATAAAGATGTTCGATGATGAAAGCAAGGGTCAGGATGAACGTGGAAGCACATTTATTTGTGAGACCGATGCGATGCAGAACCTCGTCAGCGGTGCAGGATGCCCCAACTGTGGGCGGTGCAGGCACTTCATTCTAGTATCCGCAAGTAGACGATAAGGACTGGCATCGTTCTTGAAACTCTGGTAACGCGCAGTTGGCCGCCACATCGCGCAGGTGTCCGCAGCCACATCGCGCAAAATTCGAAAAAAAAGCCTAGCACCAAAGCCACAGTGGAGCTTGAAACCCGAATTCGCTCAATGCCAGCCCGGTATTCTACCACCGACCTACGCCGGTGCTTGTGACTTGTTGGCAAACCTAGCAACATAGACATAGTACGGCTCGAACCGGGTCCGCTGGGCGCCAGCCCAGTATTCTACCACTGAGCTACCTGCTATCACTTGTTGGCAAACTTACCTTAGGCAGGCTTGATGGCAGGAAAGCAATCGTGTTAATACGACTTATAAAGCATTTCAAAACAGTGAAAAAATAACCAGCCGTCGCACAATGCGAATAGCGTAACGAGTGGGCTGTCCAATGCTCCAACCCATTATAAAAGCTCCTCTTGTTCTTTATTAACTGTGGCACATAACCACTTCAGCCATAATTTCTCATCGCCGTCAGCCACTGCATGAACAATTGGCACAAAATTCCTTGCAAGTGTTTAGCGGATACCACGCTTCTCGGAAGAATGACGAAATATAGCATAGCGATTGCCTGCCTACAACCCAAAGTTTATTATTAATGCTCTAGTGGGTATCAAGCAATTTTGCTTGCAGCAGTTAAAGAATGAGTGTTTTGAAAAGGCTCTGGAAGGCCGCTCTTCTAGCTTTCGCTGTGACTGTGCTGCGCGTTCCGTGCAGGCCTGGAGCTTTCTTTTTCTTTTTTCAGTTCTCTATTCTGCTGCATTTTTAGAGCTTGTGCACTACAATTTGTGTGTTTTATGTAGTCAGATTATAAGGAAACTTGGCATGCCTAATATTTCACATTATCTGAATTCGAGTAAACAACTTTCAGAGGTTTCCATAAGAATACTGAGCTAGATCATTTAAAAAGTTTGTTCCTTGAGTATGCTAAAACTGAAATTCCGCATTAGAAATTTTTTCTAGGCTAGCACACATAAGTTACACAATGCTTCTTTGCTCTATTGAATTTTGCAATTCATTCGGAACAACATTTGCTATTTTTTAGTGTTTTACGTTCACTATTGTTGTCTAAGCTTGCAGAAAAATGCATTGTTTTTACGATTGCATGGTCGGCACAAAATTAACCAAATGAGCTATAAAAAATAAGAGCAGATTTGAAAAGAGAAGCTCAAGTTCTATAACTGGTGAAAGCTTCATTGAGCTGTCACAAATATCTGAAAAAAAATTTTCCGAAGAGCATGTCCCTTTAATAACCCAATAAAGGTCCGTGTCCAGCGCCTGTACGCGAAGTGGGTGAGGTCCGGAGAACCAGACGACTGAAACCGACCTCGCCAGCTATGATGTGCTGGTGGATAGTCAAGGGTCGAGCCTGCATTCGTGAGGCGTTTGCTTGCCCCGCGTTCAAAACGTGCTTCATTTCAAATGCGCTTTATGGCACTGAGGATGTACTTTGAACATTTCAAAGAGGGAGGTTCAGAAGAGAGTGCGTCCGACGAAGATGAATGAAGTGTGTCATTAAGCATTTTTTTCTTTTTACTTGGGCTATATTCGGGTGAACACTTCTTTTCTCGCGTTTGCTATCCCCAAAATACACCCTGGACTATATGCGGACCTTAACAGTAAGTAACAGCGCATAAAACTAGAAAAGACGGCATGAACAGAAAGTAAAGAGCGCTGTGAGCACTCTTTACCTCTTTGTCCATGGCGTCTTTTCTAGTTTTATGGCCTTTTACTAACGTTAAAATGAACCAACTAGCCCAGCAAGGAACAAACATAAGGTAATGTGAAGGTACATTCCCGATATTCGTCTCACCACTAGGGGCCCACAAGACGCGACCCGCGATTGCCATGTCCCGCAGGACCCTGTCAGGCAACGACCATCTACGCCAGCTGACACATGCTAAAGAGGGTTCTGAATCTTTTTTAGGTGGCCACTTAGCCCCGCCATAGGGCAGCACTGCCAGCGCTACCTCGCTATGATGATGATTATGATGATGAACCCTGCGCCACCTATCACTAGATGGTTCTTAACTCTAAATGCAGCCTGTCTGCGAGACTTGTGTGCGCCACAAGGCGCAAACGACCTTAAAGGACAATATAGCATCCCCACAACTTTTGACTGTGGTGCAAGTTTAAACAGTGAAGCTGTTCATGGACGAGGTTTTTCCCAGACTATGGACCTAATGCAGTTCCTTGCAGGAGGGTATGTACCACACAAGTTGGGCTTCGGTCCACTAGTTATGAAGACGTTATTGTAATAGAGCAGAGGGCCTTTCACTCAGACACAAATTGATACTATTTGCCTTTAGTTTAACAGTGAGATGGCACCTCGATGCAAGCTCACCAACATCAAATACGAGCGGCTCGCCCAAGAGACAGAAGGTGGCCCCTGCCGGGTGCGGTGCCAAGGATCCCAGCACGGTGCCTGCGGCTGCTCCTTCGCGCACGCGCAGCCTCCGCATGGACCCCCCAGGAGTGGCCGATCCCGGTAGATGGTGGAGGCCAAGCACGCGCACCAGCAGTGCCAGCCGAGCTTCACGTGGTGGGTGGCCCCGGTCACGTGCCACTACAACCAGCGAGAATTCCTCTTGGCTCTCCCGGTCGAGAACCAGACGTGTGATCAGCCGGCCCGTGTGTGCATCCACGGAAAAGGCCATGCGCCCATCTCGTTGCTGACCGCTGCCTGCAACGCAAACCAAACGATTTTACAAATCTATTTAATCCTTCCCGAGTCCTTTTTTTTTTAACATTCCCTGATAGTCAATCACTTTACTGCAGATTTCAAATGTAAGAACAGGGTAAAGCATAAAAGAAATTGTAAAAAAACAGCGATGATGTTTTGACATCAGCATCACTCAGAATTTTAAAATGTACAAAAGTATGGTAATATTTGAAAAGCAAGTCTACATGCAGCACCTTGCTGCAGTCTGCATAAGAGCAAAAATTTTCATTCAATGATATTTCCACTTTGCTGTGCATCTGAAGACCTGGAAGGAAACTCAATGAACAAATACCTCACCAGTGTTGGGGATAAAGAACAGCATCGATTCAGCTTCTTCAAGCCCTGCATGGCACCATTGATAACAGTAAAGTTCTGCACTCCTCCATTCAGCAAAGTTTACACTAATTTCTGATCAGGCACCTGCAACACTTTTCTCCGAGAAAGGTTGTGGGGAGAATAGTTAGATTGACAGCTCATCTTCTCAATTACTCATTTACTGTCTAGTATCCAAAAGGCAAGAATAAAGTTTGAGCGAAATGTCACCTAATGCCATTTCAATCAAAGCCTTTTTTTATATCTCACATAATGGTCATATCTGAAGTATGTCAGGTGTCAGGTTTCTAGAAACATATCAATACTCCTTAAATACACATTTACAGTCCAGTATCACAAAGGCAAGCAAAACACAGTTTGAACACTTTAAACAAAAACAAAGAGAGTTTGAACAAAACATCACCTAACATCATTTGGAAGAAAACCTGTCCCATATCTCATATAGGGGTCACATCTGCAGTGTGTTAAGCTTCAGGTTTCAAAAACATATTGCCACGTTCCTTTCCTCAAGTTTTTGTCATCGCCCCATTACACTATGTTCAGAGCAAACTGCTCCTACGGTGTTAGAGAAGTTTCGAGGCTGAAGTAGATCATTTTGTTAAGATTACACCCACTTCGTGAACCTTCCAGATTATTCTGGAACTTGCGTCGCTGCTAGCGATAACGCTAGAATGTTCGGTGGCAAGTGTATAAATGCCAACACGCTTCACCGCTTGTCAGTTGATCAACAGCCGACGCTCTGCTCGCCGCTATCAGTGCCAGTGTCTTGCTGTGATCTGACTTTCCTTTCACGTGGCCAGAAGTTCGATTACAAATAAACAGTTTATTATTCGACCTGCAGTCTGCTCCCTTGATCCACATCACGACCCCGTGACATCTGGTGGAGGTGCTGCTTCTTCCCTGTACCGGACGCCCCCGTCAAACCATGAACTCAGCCCACGCTGCGAAGGAGACATCCACACCAATCCCGAGCAATGAACAAGCTGCCGGCAACTGGGTCTACCGCCAGAGTACGGGCTCCCACCTGTAAAGACCCGGCAAACCACGACCCCACAGCGACAATGACCGCTACTGTGCCACCTGCCCCGATTTTACTCCGGCAACCCAACGAGCTACCGACATTCCGTGGTACATCCCTCGAAGACCCGGAATCCTAGCTTGAAATATACGACCTTGTCGCTGCCTTTAACAACTGAAGCACCGAGCACAAGCTGCGACATGCATATTTTTACCTAGAAGAATCAACAAAAATGTGGGTCGAAAACTGAGTCTTCACTCCAAACCTGGGCAGATTTTTGCAGCGCATTCCTGCATACCTTCATAAGTGTCGTTCGCAAGAAGATGGCAGCTTCCTTGCTGGAAAGCCGCATGCAACTCCCAAATGAAAAAGTTGCCATCTTCACGGAAGAGATGACTCAACTATTCCGCCTTGCCGAACTGATATGGACGGAGACAAAAAAAGTTCAGCTGCTCATGCGGGGTGTTAAACAAGAACTTTTTGCAGAACTTCTCCGCAACCCAACTGCAATGGTTGCCGAGTTCCTCACCGAAGCTACAACTATAGAAAAGGTGCTTTAGATGCGTACAAGATAGTATGACCGCTGCTCACCAACAACGGACTATGCCAACGTTCAAGCCCCCGTGCCGATGACATGCGCAAGACCATCCCTGCAGTCATGCTTGAAGTGCTGCGTAACATGTTTTGAGAATCGCAGCCTCGAGTGGACTCAATCACTGACATTGTTCATGAGGAAGTCAAGCAAGCGTTGAGAATTTCCGAACCAGCGCAGTTTCATCTGGAAGCTACGAACTACGTTGCTGCAGTGCGTCGAAGCGCTCCCTCACCACGCCCAGGTCAAGATGCTGCATCACAGCAGTTCCACCGCGAGACACCTCCGCCACCAGCACCAATGCCATACCACCCACCTTCAGGCCGGTGCAACACACCGAGGAAGACAGACATGTGGCTCGCCCCCGATCACCACCTGCGCATCAAGAATCAGCAGGAGACCGACAGTCCTTGTTACAATCTTCGACGAAGCTTCGTAGAGTATCAGCCCGGGAACCGTGTCTGGGTATGGATGTCGATACGCCGACGCAGACTCAGTGAAAAAACTTCTGCGACGGTATTTTGGATCATAAAGGGTAATTCGACGTCTTGGCCCACTCAATTACGAGGTTGTCTCCAACAACATCACGAACTCTCAACGACGCCGATCGCGACCCGAAGTCGTCCATGTCGCACCTCAAGCTGTTTCATGCGCGTTAACAAACTGAAACAGCGAATTGTGTAGTTGTTATTTCTGTATAATACTTTATTACTTGTATGTTATTGCATTACTTTTTTTATTTTAATCTTCTGTTAAAGCATCGGAATGATACCGTCTTCGAAGGGGGGCAATGCCACGTCCTTTTTCTCTAGTTTTTGCTATCGCCCCATTACACTGTGTTCAGCGCAAACTGTGCCTTAGGTGTTATAGAAGCTTCGAGGCTGTATTAGATTGTTTTGTTAAGATTACACCCACTTCGTGAACTTCTGAGTTTATTCTGGAACCTACGTCGTCGCTAGCGATAATGCTAAAATGTTCGATGACAAATCTTTAAATGCCGACACTCTTCGCCGCTTTGCCGACGCTCTGCTTGCCGCTATGAGTGCCAGTGTCTTGCTGTAATTTGACTTTCCTTTTACGTGGCCACAGGTTCGGTCCAGATACAGTGAACTCTCGATTGAGGGCTGTTGACAGACCTCTGTCCACATTCCAGTGTCAATAACCGCCCCGTTCTCTTCCTCCTCCTCACTGATCTCGTCGCACTCTTCTTGCTCATTTGCATCCTGCATGAGAGAAAGGCCGGATTTGTGCCAGCAGTTTCTAATTGTTGCCTGTGACACTGACCACCAGGAGCCTGCCACCATCTCGGCCGCCTGCCTGACATTTATGGGCTCATTGTTCCCAATCTTTATATGAATTAAAATCCGCTGCACGAACCGCCATCAGTACTCAACCTTCAAGTTCTGTATGATGCCCAATGCGAGCGGTTGAAGCATGGCAGAGCAATTTGGCGGGAGGTATTTGACACGCACATTGTTCAAATGGAGATCGACAAGATGTGCGGAGCAACTGTCTACAATCAAAAGAATCTTTCTTTCTGCCTTTCTCATTTCTTCGTTGATGCTCAGCAGTCACTCACTGAAGAGATTCCTGGTCATCCATGCTTTGTGGCTGCTTTTATACCTGCATGGAAGTGAAGGAAAACCTTTAAAACATTGCGGTTTCGCAAATTTTCCTACCACTAAGGGCTTGAGCCTGTGGCTGCCACTGGCGTTGCAGCACAACAGCACAGTGATCTTTGCTTTCGATTGCTTCCCGCCTTTGTAACTCATTTTTGAATGCCATTGTCTTTTTTGGAAGAACCTGATAAAACATGCCAGTTTCGTCGGCATTATAAATGTCATCGGGTGAATATTCACTAATGATATTGTGTAGTTTTCATCCCTCCAGGTTCTCACCGCTTCATGGTCGGCATCCTTGCTTTTGCCGCAAATCCTTTTCCACGCGATCCCATGCCTATCCCGAAATTGGGTTAGCCATCCGCTACTTTATTTGAAGTTACGAACGTCCAGAAGCAGAGCTGATTCCTTTGCTTTGCATTGTATTATCGAGCTCCTGAAGGTGCTGACACCCCCCCCTGTAAAGTTGTCTGCGCCGCGTGGCGCACGTGTCTCGCCCCAAGGCTTTGTTTCGGTGGTGACCACCGCCGGGCGATAGATGGCGTTGTGTTCGCTTTGAGTACCACTGTTGGTAGAGTGGTAGCACCAGCGGTGGCCCCTGGTGGAAGGCAGGCCTTGGTGGTGGGCGAGAGTTGAGCGAGCCTCTTCTGCGCGTGGCGGCTGCCGCGAACGGTTGTCTGTAGCGTGGGTCCCCGGTGCTCGGCACCGCGGGCTTTGCGCCGGGGTCCCACGTGAAAAGTCAGGCATTGGCGACGCCGCCTTAGGTATGTGTTAGTGTGTTGGGTGTGTTAGTGTGTGTTTATCATGTTATTGTGTGTTTAGTGTGCCACTGCGTTATGTTGTTTGTATGGTAGCGTGTTAGTTGAAATTGGTGTATCATTCGGCGGACGATATCGTCGTGTAAATTAGTTAATAAATGTATGTATGTTGTGTGCTTTGTACCGACCGCGTCTGCTGTGTCCGTTCACTCCAAGAGCATGGCGTGGCGAGGTGCTCGTTCGCCTCGCCGAGACCCCACACTGGCGCTCGTTCGCCTCGCCGAGACCCCACAAGCTGGACACGGGTATGTTTTGGGATCTCAGGTCACGAAGCCATACCACAACGACATCATCCACTGCCTCGAAATGTCCCGTGCACAGTCGTTTCCTGGTAAGATTGAACGAAGCTTCTCCTTCGAGCTTCGATTTTTTCTTTACTATCATTGACAGTGCCGACGGTGCAACTCCGTATTCCTTTGCAGCGTTCACTTGCCTTTGCTCGCTGTCAAGACACTGCAGGATTTTTAGCTTGTCTGACACAGTCAGCCGCATGCATTTCGTCGAACTCATTACGAAAGTGGGCGCATGGCGCGTGAAATGCACTGTTGTTTCCTGAAATGAAGATGGCGTCGACGGATCCCGATGAGACAGACAAAAAAAGAAAGGCCGCTAGTGGCGCTGGCAAACCGATGCACGTGACTCGCTTTCGTCACTCGCACGGCCGCTTTGTCTCGGCAACGCTGCATGCACAAGTGATGTCGCGCCACCGCCGAAGGATGGGCGATTTAGTGGCAGCTCGCATCGGCTATACCAGTGCTGCAGTGCACAAAAATTTGTAGAATTGATTTTAAAAATGAGCCTGGGACTGCAGATCATGTTCATTCAACTGAAAAATTCACTACTTTGAAATTCGTTTAATTGAAAGATTTTTACATAGAATGCATAGGAAAATCACTGGGGATTCTAAGAGTTCGTTATTCTTAAACCGACGTTCGTACAAGTGAGAGTTTACTGTAAACAGTTTATTATTCGACCTGCAGTCTGCTCCCTTCGTCCACATCACGACCTCGTGACAATATTGATACTGATCTCTAGAATGACAAACATGGATGTCGAGTTTTTGTTCTACAGTGATGTTTCAACACACAATGAATGCTGTAGGGGGTTCGTTTTATGTATGGCTGACGCAAAAGCCTAGCTAATGTTTCAGCCGCACACAGTCGTCCCCTATCGGTAGCTAGTCTCATTTCAGCTACATGAGTTTGGGCGAACAAGGCAACAGGCTAAGTCAACAACAACACTTTATTGCTAGGCATTAGCAATAGCGTGCAAATGTCGCGAGGAGATACTCCGAAAACTAAGATAGACGCTTACTCCTTGGTCGTTGCCGCCCTAGGCTCGTAGAGGATTGTGGGTTCGACCTCCTTCGTTCCTGGCCGGTGTCAGAGAGAGCGTGTGGCCGTCCGCACGCTAGTTTTGTCCACTGACTCGGTTTCTTTCTCCCTGACTAGAGTAATACCTTTCGCTGAGAGAAGGGACACTCGTTTTGCACGCCCGGAAAGGGGGAATCGCGAGCGCCGGCTGTGGGGGTGTTCCCGCAACTAGGCTTTCGCGCTGCCGTAAAAAGGAAAAGGAGACTGGGCGCACGTGCTCCCCCACAATGAATAGGGTGCCTCAGGAGATCAATCCTTGAGACCAGTCCTATCTCTCTAGCTTACCAGATAGATATGTGGGGTTTAACGTCCCAAAACCACCATATGATTATGAGAAACGCCGTAGTGGAGGACTCCGAAAATTTCAAACACCTGGGGTTCTTTAGCGTGCGCCCAAATCTGAGCACACGGGCGTACAACATTTCCGCCTCCATCGGAAATGCAGCCGCCGCAGCCGGGATTCGATCCCACGACCTGCGGGTCAGCAGCCGAGTACCTTAGCCACTATTCCACCGCGGCGAGGCTCTCTAGCTTACCAAATGAAGGCATTGCAATAAGCAAGAAAATAAGGGGAATACCATTTCGCATAGTAGCAAAAGTTAAATCCTCGTGAGGGCACAAGCTACTAGCGAAAGGTACAGCCAACAGGCTCCATCTGACATGGGCCGACAATGAAGATAAGGATAGTTTTATTTCTAACAACACATACAACTCATACGTTCTTACAGAGCAATTTTTTTTTATAAAATATAAATATAGATGAGTATGCTATGTGAGAAGCAGGTGGGCCATCCAAGTTGATAAAGGCAAAGGAGCAAAAGGTTGACAACCCGCTTTGGATCAAAACAAGAGAAAGATACAAACCTGGAACAATCTCATAGATGACTTGGCCATTGGGTCCCTCATCGGCATCCACAGCACGCACCTGCACAAGCTCACTGCCGACTGGCTGGTGCTCACGCACATTCAGTAAGCGGTCCAAAGGTTCTACGAAAACTGGTGCATTGTCATTCTCATCGACCACAGAAATCCGCAGCCGCGCGGTGCTCGAAAGGGTTGGTGTGCCCTGGTCTTGCACTCGCACCAGCAACTCATAACTGGCCTGGACTTCACGATCGAGGGTGGCCAGGCTGTGCACATCCCCTACACAGAAACACACACAGCTAATGTATTAGACGTAGGTACTATCTTGCACTCAGTGCCCTGCCCTCAGTGATTGTTCACCGAGTTAGTCGGGACTAGAAAAACTTTTTATAGCAAAACTGTAAGTGCAATGGTTTCAACAGCTTTATGACAGTTTTCTGAATGAATAAATGAACTTTATTTATCTCTGGTTAAAGGAAAGGGGGAAATCGGACAAAGGGTGGTGGGAAAGAACTACTTGAAGTAGTCCTTCAACCCTTTCAGCCCACTGCAGGAGGGTCTCTTGAATGTCGGGCCTCGAGCTGTGTCAGGCTGCTCCCATTCCTCCTCACTAGAAATTAAACGTTTTAGAAGAAGGAGAAGAGGGTGCTTAGGGCAGTGCCACATGAGTCTGCTGTGGAAGAGGCGCAGAATCGACAGGAGGGAGAACAAAACGGATGAGTGCAATGATGTAGGTAAGGGGAAGAAAAGGTGCAAGTCTGCAGCAGTCACCACAGAATTTCACCTTAGCGCGAATATTTGGGCATGAGTGGTGGGAACGTTAAGCTTTTCTCATTGGCAGTGGGGGCAAATGTCATGGAATGAAGTAAAGCTATCCCACGCCGTGAACGGCACCTCCTCCGTAGCGAGTTGCGACACATTGGGCATTCGTCAGGCCCTGACACGAGCCACCTCATTTCCGGCAAGACTGGCATGCGTGAGACTCAATATAGTGCTACAATTGTGTCAGTTGTCGCTGAACATCTTGTATCGCTGAGAAATCCCAGGTTTCAGCACAAAAAATGTTACAAAAATGGGTTCTTTAAAATGGAATTTTATATTACATACAAGATGTTTATTTACACTATTTACAACTGCTTTGGTTTGTGAAGGTTGGTTTGTGAAAGGTCTCTGTCACTGCCTCTTCGGCCACTGAGTCACCCCCTTAGCCGCGCCGTCTGGTCTTGCAAGTGGCAGTCTTTGTCCAGTCAATTATTCTGTTCTTTGAACGCTGGAGTGCAATTTTGCCAGCCCTTCCCAGGGGAGTCTCGAAGTTTTGGTGAAAGACCCCACAAATGTTCGAGAAAACAGGAAGACCTTCAACATAGTCAAAGCGAAAACTAAAAAAATGTACATGTACAAAACACTTATAACAAATGTCGACAGAAACTTGCAAAAAGTCCCTTAGATTGAGCCATTTCATGCTATAGCTACAGGAATATAAATTTTTTGTGATTCCAGTCTGTGTTATAGAGCAGAAAGTTTTTGGTTTGTTTTTGCCGCCTATTGAATGTGTAGGTGGTGACACCCTCTGTAAAGTTGTTTGCGGGGCGTGGCGCATGTGTCTCGTACAGAAGCCCCAACTTGGGTTACAACTACCGGGGTGGTAGGTGGCGTTGTGCTCTTGAGCTTTTATCGCCATCATCATCATCATAGTTGGATGGGTAGCGCAGGCGGTGACCCCTGGCGGCATGCTTTAGTGGCGGCATGAGAGAATTGAGCGAGTCTCTTTCGCTGGTGGCGTTTGCCGAGAACGGTTGTCTCCAGCGGCGGGTCTGCCGTAGACGGCACCGCAGGTCGTCTTTGGTGGGCCCACATGGTTAGTCAGGCGTTAGCGACACCGCCTTGTTTGTCATGTTGAGTGTTGTTTAATATTGTGTAATGACGTCTTAGCATGTTGATCATGAGTGATGTTTTAGTAATTCGGCTGACGATATCATAGTTTTAAATTAGTTAAATAAATGTGTTTGGCTTGGTTTGTCCCGATCGTGTCTACTGTGTCTGTTCACTCCAAGAGTGTTGCGTGGCTCTCGCTATATCGAGACCCCACATGGAGTAGATAGTCACAAATGTGGCCCCCTTGCACAATTGGCGGGGTAAATCTTCTTTTACATAGCTATCTGGTCTTGCCCAAGGGTATGTAACTACACTAACTACATAATACAGCACTCACCAGTAACTGGGTCAACCTTAAAGCTGCTGCCGTTAGAGTGCAGCAGGCTGTAGCGAAGCACAGCATTGCTGCCAGCGTCTTGGTCCCGAGCCTGCAGTTGACCAACCAGGTGGCCGGCTGGCAGATTTTCTGGCACAGCAAGCTCCAAGGAAGTGGCGCTGAATTCGGGAGCATTGTCATTTGCGTCGAGGACATGCACTTCCACGCTAGCCGTGGCTGACATGGCAGGGCTGCCATTGTCCACAACTACCACCGAGAGCCAGTGCAGATCGCAGGCTTCCCGGTCCAAGGGCTCACGGATATACAGCAGTCCACTGTTTGGGAAGATGCCAAACTCCCCACTTGCTGTGAGCCGAAAAGAAAGCCGGGCATTGTTGCCTGTGTCCCGATCTGTGGCACTCACCTGCAGCACCAACCATGCCTTCATTAAAGGAGAGGTGACACCAAATTTCGACACAATTTGACTGTTGCACCACACAGACATAGAAGTGCCATCTGTGCGATATCAGCCACAAATACAGCTTAAAATGTATTCTAAGTGACTTTTGAAGTTGGTGAAAGTTCTGAACTTGAAACAGAAGCAAAAATTGATGAGGTCATCGAGCATGTACCACGTAAGTCACGAGTTATGAATGCCATAAAACAGTAGGATGGGGAAGATAGAAAGTTGCGATGACAATTAGTAAACAGGGGTTGTGTCGAGTCGACGTTTCGACAAGCCGACTTGTCTTTCTCAAGGCAAGAACAGCACTAATTTCGTTGGCACTTCGTAACCTCTCCTCCTTCCTAACAAAGAAGGGGGACGAGCAACATGAATACGTGGGTGCCAGAGTGTGTGTGTAGAGGGTGGGGAGGGCTGTGACGAATTGTATGAGTGAAGGAGGAACAGGTATTCCGTGAATAAAAAGAAAATAAGGGAGCAGTTGGGAGGTGAGGAAGGATGTACACATGTCACAGAGTCCCGGTTGGTGCCACACGTGGCACATGGAGCTAAATGTTTTTAAGTTCAAAAGCAAGCACATAACCCGGTGCAATGGCACCTCTACGTCTTACTCTCGAAACAATATTCCATTTAAATCCACCGCTTCTTATCGCTACCTTGCTGTTCACATTTTAGCAACCTGTCATAAAAACATCATGTTAATTACAAAACAGCTAAAGCGAATCAAACTTTAGATCACTTAAAAAAAACTTCTATCTTGCCCCACTGTCACTAAAACTTTTGCTTTATACTAGCGACATCCATCCTCGCCTAGAATATGCCTCATCTGTCTGGAACCTGCAAAGCTCTACATAAATACATAGCATTGAGGCAGTGCAAAATTTCTCCGCTCGCTTTATTGCACGTAATTATAATTACCATGCTAGTGTCACAAGCATGAAAGCTGCTCATAATCTTCCTTCTCTAGCAACCTGTCGAAAGCAACCGCGCATTTTTCTTTTTCACAAAATGTATTACCATAACCCTGCACTTCATTTCTTGTTCGTACACACAGCTCCATTTCGCTAACACCGGCTTGACTATCATCTTAAGGTTAACATATCATATTTCTCAGCTACTGCAGGCTCTAACTCATTTGTTGCCAGGACAGCAGAAGATTGGAACCACTTACCTGCCTTCATAATAGATATAACTGATACAATTGCATTTAAGGGGAGATGGGGGTCAAAAAGCGGGAGTTTTTCATTATTACCAATATTTTTTTATTTTCACCTGTTTTGATAAGATTAGTACCTCTACTGTTATGATAAAAATAATACAGGTCGAGACTCAACTGGAAATGCTTTAAAATTACGTTTAAAGAGCACAAGGCGCCTGTTAAAAGGCCCAAAGTATGCAGTCTACGAGCACCTTGCTGCCGATAATGCACCTCTGCTTGCCATTGTCAATCACATGAGGGGAAGAGTCGAGCCTCCCTCTTCAAATAACGACAGCTTCTCTCGCTGATGCGGTGCAAGAAATAATAAAAAGAATCGCACTTTCGTGCATTTTCCTAGCGCCGCGACTGGCTTGTCACACGGTATTGATCAGGGACCGCCATTGGCCACTGCGTGCCTGTATGTGCTGTGAAGCCTACTTGCGGGATCCATGTCTTGTCGAGCAGCGCAGCTGACCAATGCCTTTCTTGTGTATTTATCGACATTATGAATTAAAAAAGCCATTGCTCGCACGTGAAAGCCGTTGTGGCGGCGCACTCTGTAGGAATAGGCTACGAGCAGCTGGTCTGACTTGCGGCAGTTGTTGGCTTGCAAAAACCAATGCATCAAAAGTAATTCACAGCCATCAGCCAGAAAGTTGGTGATGCGGCAACAGATGACGTCAGCGCGAATCTTGCGAGGTCAAAAGAGCTCACTGTGAGGGAACTTAGCGGGGACGACATTGCCATTATGTACGACGGTATGTGGCACAAACGTGGCCGCAAAATGGCATTGGCACTGTTGTATCCCACGACACTGGACTTAGTTTAGATTTCGCAGCCCTGTCGAACTTCTTTCTAACCTGCAGTTGGCACAAGGCTTTGCCAGATGGAGAAGAAGTTTGGAAAGCATTTCATGGCCCTGTCTGTGAGCGAAATGTCTGTGAGGAGTCGGCTCGAAAAAGCCGAAAGGAACAAACTCATGGTGCTGGTGTATTTTAGTGGCAGTGGCCACTACAAGAAGGATTGTTCTTTTTGGTGTGCAAATTCCATCGCATTTAAAGGCATCTTTGATAAATAAAAAGACAATTTTAACCTTAAAACTCGTTTTTCTCAAAACACAAACTTTGCCATTTTTTCTCAACATGCCCCTCCTTTTTCAGGCACTTATAGTTCTTGGATCTGCATAAACTTTTGCTTAAATATTTTACCAAGTATGACAAATACAATTATCTAGTTTAAACTTCAATATTTTAATATATAATCAAAAATTGTATGTAAATCTTTACTAGGCTAAGTGAAATATGAGCTTTTTTATGTCTATTATTTTTCACACCTATTACATATTATATATGTGCTTTCTAATTAGTTATTTTGTATTCTACACTACAATTGAGACAATTTGAACTATGAGTGATAAAACATTATGGAAGTTAACGGATGAAAAGAGTGGGGAAGGGGGGGGCAAAAGGGTTAAGGTTATCACTTTGTCATGTCGCGGAGCTAAAATTATGCAACTTGCAAGAAAACTAATTATATATTTGAAATAAGCATAAAAAGTTTCATAAACAGCTCAAGTTTCATTCCTCTAGGGTGAATATTAAAAAGAAGTGTCTTCGTGTAGCATCTCCCCCTTAAATGTCTACTGTAACATTGCATGTTTATTCTTCTACATTGCTTGTAACTACTTCGCTTCATGGGTGGATTCAGCGACTCATTTTAGGGGGGGGGGGGGGGGGGCTTGCTTGATGTAACACCGGAGGGGCGGTGGGTCCTGATTTTTTTGTTTTTAGTAGCATGCAAACCTTGTCATAGCATAAATACTGTTAATGTGTGCTCACAATGGTGCTGCTCAATATTTCTAATTGGTGATAGGAGATGGATGACCAGCACTGAAGAGAGGGGGAGGGGCAATTGCCCCTACCACATGCCCTCTGGATCCGCCACTCCTTCACTAGATGTCCTCTAATGTCCTTTACAAAATTTTTGTAATTTCGTATAATGCTTCCATTTTACTGTTCTTGTTATGCTCTTTTTTCCTCTCTCTCTTTTTGATATGTACACCCAACCACCTCCGCAATGTATTTATACCCGGAGGGTACTATAAATAAATTCATAAATAAGTAAATAAATAAATAAAAAATACACGTCCAGTAAAGCCTTTTACCAATCTGCACTATATAGATGACATATGTATATAAAAGCACACTAAACACATTCATTGATCACTGTAGCAAGTTTCACTTGAGTGCAGTTGAATCTGGATACAATAACGAAATTTCATAGAAGCATTCAACCAAATGATCCAAGAATTTGGTAAATAAAGCGCCTTTTCCGTGACACGCGACGGCCGTCATATTTGTCCGACAGCCGCGAATCATATATCGTTTGAAAGCGCAGCCTCTCGTCTTGATTTTCGCGCCATTTTCGGCTCCGAGCGCGCGTTGGCTGTGAAGATATCCCGATTCAAAAAGAAGTCCCAACACGCGCAGTAATTGGCCAGTTACGGCACGTGACCCGCAGCGGGTCACGCCATTGGCCTGACAGGCATCGTCTGCATCACTCCGCGGCGACTGTGCGCACACCGTACGCGTCAACTGGTTTTCGCACGTGAGCAACGATGTCGACGCCGTCGCCGAAGTTCGCTACGAAGTACAAATTCGGAACAAAAAGGAAGAGGAAGACTCCGTACAACTTCCAGAAATGCGCTGCTGTGCCACCACCAGTTCCTGACCATGCGGAGAACGGCGTGCTTCCCGAGTCGAGCGGCGCCGATGCGGGCGTGTTAGGCCTAGTCCCCCAAAGCGCTCTTGACAACCGCCGCGGGTCTTCGTCGTCGTTTCGGCACGACACTGCAATGTTGCAGCCAGAAGATTTGCGGCGTATAGAGAGTGAAGCTCAAGAAAAACTTAATGTACTTGCTTCAACTCCTGCTACTGCCCGAAAATCTGACTTTTTGGATCGTGATGACGCTGCCACACAAGCTAGCAACGATCTCGCTACAAGTTTTTTCATCGCTAGTTACGACTCGATGAACGCGCTGCTGGCGTCTACCAGTTGCAAGTGTACAATTTGTGGTGGTAACCTCACGGTGCGAAAAGGTGAGCGGGATTTTGGCCTTGCTGTGAAGTTTGTTGCCGAATGTGCGATCTGCGGCGATAATGTGCAGGGATGGAGCTCGCCGCGCGTGAGCGGCAAAGCAAAGCTCAGGCCTTTTGTCATAAACATCCTTGCGGAGCGTGCAATGCAGAGCACCGGAAACGGGCAAACCGCAATGAACGACATTTTTGCGGCGATGAACATTTCGGAGAGAGGAATGCACAATAAAACATGGCAGGGACACTTGAAAACGAAACTCGTCCCCGCGGCAACCGATGGGGCAGAAAAGTTGATGGGGACATGTGCACAATTAGTGCGCGATTTGTACCGTGACCTAAATATAAACAGCCCGGACAACATCGCTATATCGTTCGATGGCACATGGATGACGCGCGGCCACTCGTCTCATATCGGCGTCGGCACCGTAATTGAGCTCTACACAGGATTTGTGCTCGATTATGTAGTGCTCAGCAATTTCTGTGCTGGGTGCGCACGGGCACCAAAAGAAGTTGACCCTGCCTACCAGGCTTGGAAGGAGGCACACGCATGCCAGAAAAACACGGACAAAAAAGCTGGGGAGATGGAGGTGGAAGCGGCACTGATCCTCTTCCAAAGATCGCTGCAGAAGCATAAGCTGCGGTACACGACCTTGTTGTCGGATGGTGAC